TTTTTGGGAAGGGGAATTGGGCATCTTGGTAACTCATTGGGAATACAGGCAGTGGAGGAAAACATGGAGCCTCAGTTGGTGCCGAGGTTTCTAGAATGGGTGACTGGTAGACAGTTGAGCTTTAAGTGAGAAAACTGAAAGTAAAAGAGAGGCACGTTTTGGTGGAAAGACTATGTTCACAGCCCTCATAAGAGCTGGACCATTAAATAAGGAATCAGTGGATGCTAACTCTGCCAAACCAGCGGGATAATTCTTGGCTAAGACATGATCCTTCCTGGACTTCCATTTCCAGACTCATCAAATGAGCGCAACACCATCCTAATCCAAAGGGTTGTTGAGAAAGTAACAGGAATAAAGCACATGGGATCCCAGGGCTTGGCATGACGGGACTTCGTATGTGCTGGTGAATCTGAATCTGAAAAATCATAAAGATGTCCTATTGCCTGATTTGTTCATTTTGGGAAACTCATGCAAAAGGAAAGAGTTATTCATATCCTTCTTCATGTGTGCACTCACTTGTTCATTTATTCTTTCACTCATCCATTTAGCAAGAATGTATTGAAGGCTTTCTGTGTCAGGTGCCGTGACAGCCAAGCTTCACTGTGATCAGACAAGGATTCCTTTGGGTGCTTCTTGGATGCTGTGCCCAACCCCTTGTCAAAGTTACTTGGATCATATCTGTAATCTTGCTCCAGAGAAAGGGTAAAACCGAGATGTCCCTCGGGATCCCACAGGCCCTGCATGACCCTTCCCTTCATGTGGCCATGAGGACACAGCACACTGTGTGGTGACTGGTGAGCTAGTGTTTCTTCTCATGTTGAATAAAGTTCATGGGTAGACAAATTATAATTAATGATAATAAAAGTTATGCTAAAATTGAGCATTTTCTAATGAATTGTACTTCACATCGACCATCTCAATTAATTCCATATGGTAAGTTTATTTTTTCCCCAGCTTTATTAACATGTAATTGACCAATCAGAATGGTATATATTGTTCAGTGTGATGTTTTAATACATGGATACCCTGTGGACTGATGAAACCAAGCTGATGAACATATCCATCACCTCACATACTTATCACTTGTGTGTGTATTTGCGTGTGTGTGTGTGTGAAACATTTAAGATCTACTCTCTTAGGAGGTAGGTCTAGTTTTTCTTAGTTTATAGATGAGGAAACTGAGGCTAAAAGAGGTTAACTATTTTGCTTAAAACCTTATAGGAGCTGTGATGGGAACCCAGGTTTGTGTGAGTGCAGCTACTATTACGTTATCTGACAGTGCCTCAATTCAGTAAAATACTAAGTAAGCAGATTGTCCATGTTTCCATGTGTTTAGAGGGAAATGGTGTCTTGACCTCCCTGGTCAGGGTCCGCGTCCTTCTCTGTACCTGCATTCTTTCCACGCATCTTTTTCAGGGAACATCACTCTGTTCTGTCATTCAATTGACTCACTTCTCTGTATCCCTCTTTAGACTATGAGCTGATGGAAGGCAGGGGCCACAATGTATGGTCTCATATGTCTCAGTGACACTGCTAATTATATGCCAAATGTATGTATGTACATATGAACTACAGATAATAAACTTTTCTAGCACACAGCAAAATCTTTCTGCTTTTGGGACAATTAAGAACTTTTATAGATGACCATATTTTAATTGATGTAAAGTTACCTATTCAGGTTTCAAAAATCTCAAAGACCATCTGGTCTGAAAAGGCTTCTGATGCATGGTTATGAATTCCTTTGTGCTTCCACATCAGTGCCTATACTGCTTCATTATTTATTTTAAAGAATTATAATTCTCTATCCATCTCATTCCGTATGTCTTGGGTCCAGAGCCCTTTAAATTTTATTCATGTCGTTTTATTTTCTTGCTTAGCACTCTTGGCTAAGTATATTGGATTCTGTTACAGTTTCTCCATCACTTTCTAAAAATGGAATGATAAGAACTCTACCGGGTCGTGGTGTCCAGTGGCCAAAACTTGATTCTCAAGCACCTGATAAATTTAAGCCTGTGCAGTTGAGAGAAAAATCATCCAGAGTGTTGTCTGGAAAGTTAGACAAGGTCAGTAAACACAGAAATAAGGCATTTCTAGCCAGCCTGCCAAGGCCAGGAGTTTGAATCGTAGTCCTTGTGTCCTGAACAAGAGAGCAGGAGGGAATAGAAAATCCAGGGCTTTGAGCAGAGGAGGCTCGTGTTGACACCCCAGCTCCTGACCCTGCCGACAGTAATTTTAGGCACACCACTTAACCTCTCTGTACTGCCCATTTGTTTCCATTTGCTTGCCATTCCTTTTTTTTCATGGCTTGATTTTGTTTCTTAAAAGTTTTTCGAAACAATTTCAATGTTACAGAAATGTTTCAGATATAATACAAAACGATTTTTCTCTAAAACGTTGGAAAGGAATTTGCCAATATTAGAGCCAAATAATGGTGCTCGACGATCTTGGAATATTTTGTTGTGTTTTCTATAAACCAAGGCATTTTTTATAGAAATACAGTCTAGCCATCAAAAGAATTAGCATTGATGTATTGCTACCGATTAATTATCAGATACCATTCAGGTTTTACCAATTTTTCCCAAGTTATCGTTTAATGCAAATGGATTTAGTTCAGAAGAATCTGTTGTGTTGAGCTCTGTCTTCTTCAACCGGAACGGTTCTTAAGCCTTTCCTCCACCTCCCCACACTTTGATACTTTGAAGTTCACAGGAGAGAGATTTGATTGAAGGTCCGTCAAGTTGGGTTTGTCTGATCTTTTCTCATGACTGGATTCATGTTATGCAGTCTTCAGCGGGCACAAATGACCACCTAGTTTGTAGGGCCTGTTGTAAAGTGAAAATGTGGAGATCCTTCCTTGTTCAAAAATGAGGGTAAAAAGTGCTAGTAAAGGCACTAGAATATAAAGCTTTTGCTTTTCTTCCACAGTCTCTCTTGGTCTGTCATGGTGTTTTTTATTATTAGTATTTTTGAGACAGAGTCTTGCTTTGTCACTCAGGCTGGAGTGCAGTGGCGCGATCTCGGATCACTGCAACCTCCGCCTCCTGGGTTCCTGTGATTCTCCTGCCTCAGCCTCCCAAGTAGCTGGGATTACCTAGGCCACCATGCCCAGCTAATTTTTGTATTTTTAGTAGAGCTGGGGTTTCACCACGTTGGCCAGGCTAGTCTTGAACTCCTGACCTCGTGGTCTACCCGTCTCAGCCTCCCAAAGTGCTGGGATTACAGGTATGAGCCACTGTACCTTGGTGTTTATTATTTGCTATTTAACTTCACACTCCCTCTGACTCCTGGATACTTGTAGGGTGAGGGAAGATACTACAGGCTCCTGGAGGCACCACCCCGTAACTTCGGGCACTGGCATGCATATCTCCAGCCACCCGCCACACCTCTTGTCTTCCCGCTAACCTGACATCCCATTCTGCAGTGTACAGATGAGCCCTCAAGGGTGACATCTGCACTGGGCACCTGAATAAGAGATGGTGAGAGGCTTCATGTCCATTGAATTGTCACCAAATGTACCATAGCACTGCCCAGTTTTAGGTGCATAGCAGGCATTCAATAAATATTGGCTTTCTTCCTTAGAGTGAGTAGATCTGGAACATATCTTCACAAGCCTGAACTTTCCCCTGTAAAAAGCAGGAGCTGAGGCCCAAGAAGGTGAAATGACTTGCAGGTCTGGAGCTCCTAACTCCAAGTCGGTAATGTTGAGTTCTGTTCTCTGCCTTTCTCAGGTGTTGGTCCTCTGAAATAGTTTAGAAAGTGAATTCCATGGTGCTTGGAGTAAAAATAAAAATGATATACCAGAGGCCATCGATGAGACACTTGAGCCTCCTACATAGATATTCCTGCAACACAACTATTCATCACTCACTCACCTAATGCCCCTGCTGTGTTAGAATGTGGAGCATCCAAAAATGTAAGCATGTGTCCTGCTCACAATCTATCAGCAAGAGAGCAAGGAACTCACAGTGACTTAGGCATTTATGATTTTGCTTTTAGTTTTTCTGGCAGTCAGAGAAATGTTTATTTATTTATTATCATTACAACTTCATAGGGCAGGTTTTGGTAACATTTTACAGTGGGAAGCCTATGGCTTTAGAGACTTTAGACAAGGTACACGTAGAAAATGTCAGAACTGGTGGGGTGGAGGGCAGAAGTCTGTTTGGTTCTGCCTCCTGGCTTGTTCTGGCTATATCCCGGTTTCCTTCCTGGAAGAGCCGGCAGGACTGGGTTAGAAAAATGTTGTCTGCAGCCTGGTGCAGTGGCTCATGCCTGTAATGTCAGCACTTTGGGAAGCCAAGGCAGGTGGGTCACCTGAGGTCAGGAGTTCGAGACTAGCCTGACCAACATGGCGAAAACCCGCCTCTACTAAAAATAGAAAAATCAGCCAGGCATGTTGGCACATGCCTGTAATCCCAGCTACTCAGGAGGTAAGGCAGGGAATGACTTGAGCCCAGGAGGTGGAGGTTGCAGTGAGCCAAGACTGTTCCATTGCACTCCAGCCTGGGTGAAAAGAGCAAAACTCCATCTCAAAAAAAAAAAAAAAAAAAAAAAGGAAAGAAAAATATTGTCTTCAGTGACTTGTTCTCATGGAGACAGCCCAGGAGGCCTGCCTAAACTTGCTTCTCTCAGGCTTCCCCAGTACCCTAAGGGGCCGTCCTTCCTACCGCCAGCCCTGTGAATCATATTCATTGAGTTCTAAGAATCTCCATACAACTGTGCTGTTGTACATTGTAAGCTGACACTGAATGAGCAGTGACTGGACGCTGCCTTCCATGTGGGACATGAGCCCTTGATGGCTGATAAAGCCTGAAAGCCACAGTCTGCTCTAGAAACCCAGCTCCAGCCCACTTCCGCCACATCAGGAGGTGGCAGGTTCAAAACTCCTTCAGGGCTGATGAATGAAATGCGTTATTAAAGATAATTCTTCTCAAAGCCGTGGTAATTATCCCAGCATTAACACTTCTAATTTAATCCAACCCTGATTAAACTTTTTCTTTCAGAAGGAGGAAATTGAATGTGTGAAACACCAGTGGGCGGAAAAGGTTCCCCTAACAAATGTGGTTATCAACGGGAAAGAAGCTTTCTAGAGCTTCTGTATGGGGCCAAGTCATGCACACTTCATCAAACTCATCAGGTGGGACTTGTAGAGCAACCTCCGTCTTAGATAGTCAGCTGAACTCCAGCATTCTTTCCAGAGAGGAATTTAAAGAGGTTAATATTGATTGTAGCTATCATGTGACGTTCCCTTTGACCCTCCATGCTGCAGTTATCTTTGGTGGACACCATGCTCTTTCTTCTGTCCTTTGAAATCATAATTGTTTGCTTACCTCCTCTTCTTCCTCACTAGTCAGAGCCCCCCAAAGGCAGTGATCATGATGTAAGTACTTCAACTTTTATATCCTCTGAGAATAGTGCCTGGCATGGAGAAAAAAACCCAATACATGGTTTGGCCAACCAATGACCAAAGGGTCTAATAAACTTAAAAAGCTTTTGTGTTTTCATCATTTACCAATATCCCTATATGCTCCTAAACAACTTATTCATTTATTGGTGTTTGAGCAAAATGCTTTAGCCAAGCACTTTGAGGGGAGGTGGAAATGGAGGTTAAGGAAAAAAGAAAAGACTAACCAACTGGGAATAATAAAATGCAAACTTTATGTCTCCTGGATTTCAGAATGAAAGGTGGAGTTTCAGAACCCATTTCCCATATGAAATTCTTGGCTTGCTTTTTCCAAAAGTCAGGCTCAAAGGAACTTTTCACGAAAGAGGTATTTTTCTTCTTGGCCTGGAAAATCGATTCCAATGTTAATCTCGCTCCTTGGAATGTCCTCCCCTACCCTTTTCCACCTAGCAAAACACTCGTCTTTTCACAGCCCAGCTCAGATGTCAGCTCTTCAAATAACAATCATCATTGCTAATATCTGTCGTGCATTAACTCTAGGACAGGGGCTGGGCTCAGTGTTTCACAGAAGTTATTTTATTTGCTGTTCACAAATCCCCATCAAATCAGGACGATGATTGATCATAACAGATAAAGAAGCTGAAGCCTGTAAGGTGGGGTAATTGCCCAAGCTCAAGCATGGATTTGAACGTAGGAGCCTTGACTTCAGTTGTGCTTTATCTGTGAGGACCCTGCTCCCTCTGAAGGCTTCTGCAACTTTCTCCAGACCTGCCCTTTGTAGAGAACCAGCACTGGCTCTGGCTTACACAACGTAATCCACACACGCTTAGGGGACCACCACAGCCTCTGTTCCCCCTGGCTCCAAGCTCAGCACTAGTGAAAGTAGCTTAAGCACCAATGCCAGGTCCATCTTCTTTGCGTGCTGAACTCCCTAGTCTTGAGGTTGCTGCCCTTGTAGTTTCCTTTGTTTCATTCTCTGCTGGGTCTCTGCCCATCTGACATCGTACACATTCTGGTATTTACTTTTCTCAGCGTGGCTCTGTATCAAGAAAGCAGCCTCCTGTTTTGTGTTCTCTTCCTAGCATAGCATCAAGCGTGGAAGCCTGTGTGGTGGTTCATGCCTGAAATCCCAGCACTTTGGGAGACCAAGGTGGGTGGATCACGAGATAGAGACCATCCTGGCCAGCATGGTAAAACCCAGTCTCTACTAAAATCCAAAAAAAAAAAAAAAAAGAAAAAGAAAATTAGCTGGGTGTGGTGCATGCAGCTGTATTCTTAGTTACTCGGGAGGCCGAGGCAGGCCTCCAATCACTTAAACTTGGGAGGCAGAGGTTGCAGTGAGCAGAGTTTGCGCCACTGCACTCCAGCCTGGTGACAGAGCGAGACTCCAACTCAGAAAACAACAAAAACAAAAACAAAAACCCACCCCCCACCCCCAAAAAAGCAGAGATGGGTAAGCTTTAATTTTCCTTAATTCTTTGGAAGTCATTATTCCAACATAGTATTTTCATGCATTCTATCAAAACCCTGATGTAGAACTGCAGGGGTTGGCGCTCATGGTGGCATTCAGGGGTAATCCTCCCACCCAACCCTAGCTTTTCTGACAAATAATGCTTCTTAGTCCAGATAAGGGTTGAGAGTTCATTTTCCTTTTCTTAAGTCACATTTTCGTCATAAGAGGTTCTTCAGCTGTGTGGTCTTGCGGTAGATACCTTTGAGATTATCAAGGATAAATGCATCAGCACATGAATTGGATCTGACCAAAATGCTTCTCAGGACACCATGTGAGATGTGGACAGGTGAAGCAAGAGAAAAGTCACTCTGTGTTCTGTTTTGCTGTTTCCGTTGAAGACCAATATTAAGCATCCCTGTAATTCATGTCAAATTTTACCGTATTGAGAAATAAATGGATAAAATGGTACTCTTTTCAATAAGTATAACCTTATGACTTGCACAATCACAAGTACTGAATTTTCCCATCTCAAATGCATTATGTAAGCCGATCTTTTTCCCTATACATATTCATGACACAGAAGCTAACCCAGAGGAACCATAAGACAGTGACAATGGTTAAGAAAACGGTTACTCGGCTGGGTGCGGTGGCTCATGCCTGTAATCCCAGTACTTTGGGAGGCCGAGGTCGGCGGATCTCCTGAGGTCAGTAGTTCAAGACCAGCCTTGACTACCATGGTGAAACCCCATCTTTACTAATAATACAAAAAAATTAGCTGGGCGTGGTGACACACACCTGTAGTCTCAGCTACTTAGGAGGCTGAGGCAGGAGAATCGCTTCAACCTGGGAGACAGAGGTTGCAGTGAGAGTGACCAAGATTATGTCATTGCACTCCAGCCTGGAGACAGAGCGAGACTCCATCTCAAAAAAAAAAAAAAAAAGAAAACTGATATTCACTTACCAGCTGTGTGTCTTTGATTAACAGTTAAACTTCCCATTTAAGTCTCAGCATTTTTATTGGAAAAGTGGAATTAGTAATAATAATATATATTCTATTGGGTGCTTGTAAAGATTGATTTAATGTGCTCAATGTCTTATTATAACTACTAATTCATGTTAGCCATTATTATGACTCAGTAGAGTTAGACTTGAATTGGAAGAAGACCTAAGTCTTATCTCTGCTACTCACTAGACAGGTGGTTTCAAATAACTCAATCAAGCTGGACCTAAAAGCTCTCCGCAATCTTGGGCCTGCTGGCAAGTCCGGTTTCATGCTGAGCTCTTATCTACATCACACTTGGTTTTTCAGCAACTCAAGCTGTTTCTAGTTTATCACTCTTGTACCTGGTCCACGTCTACCCTCCCCCGTGGCCCCAGCCACACTCACATCAGTGTGGGCTTCTGTGTCTTCATTGACTTCATGCTTTGCATGTCTGTGTTGAAATTTCACTTTTGTATAAGGACACCAGTCCCACAGATGGGCTGAGGACCCATCCTAATGACCTTGCTTTTACTTGATTACCTCTGAAAAGACAGTATTCTGACCTACTGAGCTTCAGGACCTCAACATACGGATTTTGCTAGGGGTTGGGGTGAGTGGGGATGAACGCAATTCAACCCATGACATTTGGGGACTGCACGGACTTGGGGTTTGTAGCCTTTACCTGGCATAGTGTTGGTGTTTTCATTATTTACACTGCTTCCCATCCCACCAGTGAGATTTCATTCCTCATGAATTTGCAGAGAGGCACATGGCTTACATTTCCTGAATTCTAACTCTCGTTTTTGTTGCTGCAAAGCTGTTATTCTCTTTGGTTTCTCCTTTCATCAACCTGGCTGCCAACCAACATCTAAAAAAAACGTCCCCACACTGCAAGCTGAGTTCCTGCCTCGGGTCGATGTGGGTTTATTGATATTCCAGCATGGTTTGCTTCACGATTTATGCTCTGCAGTTTGTGAACCACAGACCCAAGAGGAAAAGAGATAGTGAAAGGGGATTTTTCGATCACTTTATATGCAGTAAGTGAATCTCAATTTCCTGCCATGTTATTTCAGAGTCCTTAAATATCCTTTTCTTTGCCTGGACGTTAGAAACTACAAAAGCTCTACATTCTTTAGGATGAAATATGAGTTCTGTAAGATCTATAATCAGAGCGGCCTCTTCACAGTGCCATGGTACTTGGGAGCATATACATCCCTGTGACGTGGAGTGAAGGGAGGATGCCTGTTTTGGGATCTGAAAGGATACAAACATCTGCAGGTCTATAAGAGTTCTCATTATTCCTGGGTCTCAAAAGCAGGACCCATGCTATAACCTGCTTCCTCACTTCCTTTAGTGTATGTACAAACTGAAAAACAGTGGAAGAATTGAACACATTAATCGAGAATGCTGCTCTCTGCTCGGAGCAGGACTGTTAAAACAGTGCAAACCACGACAGGGTGATGAACTCCACCGGCATGTTTAGAATAGGAAAAGGCGCAGTGTCAGAGCCAGAGGAAACCTAGGAATTATTTTATATGCGATAAAATGAAGACCCACAGCACTGTTTTGGAAGGCACATTAGTCTCTTAGTAAGACAGAAAAACACAGGCTATTATTGGTAACGAATAAAATAATGTTTAACATTCTATTTCTGGTAAAGCGTAGAAATCATTATAGGTGGTTTGCATAAGCAGGGAGAGCAACGGACAGGAAAAGGGAAAGGAGGGTGGAGGATGACACTAGAATCCCTGGGCACACTAAATACAGGCCATTTGCTACATGAGCCTCTCAGGGGTTGATTTAAATAATGAGAACACATGAGATGGAAACTGTGAAGCTGCCAAAGGGCTCTGCTCCGGGAGCTGCAGGTAGCGCGTTTCTAAACCTTGAGGTTTGCATAGAAATACTTGTTAACCATGATAACTACTTCAGATTCATAGCTCTTTAGAGATTTTTCTGGCTCTCACACAGTCCTGTGAGGTGGGTGATGGGGGAGACTCAGGGAGGCGGTTTTGTCCCTATCATAAAAATCACAGGTTTGGAGACTGTGGTTCAGGTTCAGTTGGCTTTGTGGCTTTCCACTGGCAGACCCGAGGCAGGTTATGAAGGAGTACCAGGCATGATTGGAACCCAGGGCTCTTGGGCACCAGGGTAGGGCTGTGCTTCCCTTCCCTTCTTTTCCTCCTAACAGGGCCATGGGTTTCCTTAGGTCAGCTCTGTCTGGTGAATTCCTTCATGTTGGGAGCTCTGTGTTATTTCTCTCTGGTGTTGCCTGGTGACGTACTGAGTAGATTACAG